AAAGGCTGTTAGGTTGCAAATGAACTTGGTAGCTTCTCGAACGAAGATCCCGACACGAGTGTTACCTCTTCTTCGTAAATACCAGACGATGGAATTTGCGGTGAAGAAAATTCATTCCTTTCAAATGAGTTGAAAGCTGAAAAACTGACCTGATAACGTTTCGTCCCCCTTGCGAGGCGCAGCTGCGTTCAACGAGGAAGGAGAGAGGAGAGAGAGAGAGAGAGAGAGGGAGTGACACAGAACAGCCCTCTGAGTGTATCGTTCCCATTCAATATTTCAGAAAAGTCAAGGATGACGTCAGTATCTGGCAAGGGGTAAGTTATCAGTGTCCCTGTGAACTATTTGGCAGCGATCCAAAGGAGGGTGGCAGTCGATATAAACCTACCGATATAGGGACAAAGGTTAAGTATCAAAATCTTGAAAAACGACAGTCGAAAATTTCTCCTGTTTTGACCTTGTCTCATTAATTAGGCGGGCATACATGTGTACATATGGGAACGAAAATAATTTCACTGTGACGTCATCGTATGCAGATTCAAAATACTGAACTGGGCTGAATTTTGCTCTAGTAGATGGTGTCCTTGGACGAAAGAAGAAATTAAGGGTTGGTAATGGGCTGGAAATGGTGCACCAGCAATTAGACCTATGATAGAGGATTTAAAAAAAAGTTGTAAGAGACAGTAAAAAAAAATAAAATAATAAGAAGAAAAAAGGAGCCTTATCCTGGTGCCGCGGTTGCAGCGTCGCCAGCGATATCCGCTCGCCTCCTCGTTACCGCTAAGCTCAAATTAACGCGGCGTTAATTAGGGGATGGAAGTTGGGTAGCTCGGAGCACCAGAAGTAAGCATTAGAAAGTTCCGGAAACTTTCTTTCTGCGTTGTAGTCGGGCACTGGCCCTTGGGCGGGTTTAAATTTTCTGTTTGTACTTAGCTTCCGTAAAGGCACATCGCAGCCATGTTAATTTAGTTGGGATATTAGCGTCGCGACTGTACCAAATTATTCAAAGGCTCGTAAACCAACCTTCAACCCTAAATTTTTCGCGCTTCTCGGACGTGCCTGTACCTAACCTAAAAGCGTCTCCGTCGCGACGACAACCATCCTGACCCTCTAGGGGTTGCTGCTCCGTCGCCAGGGTAAAACCGCATCCTGCGCCAAGGGATGGCAACGAGCGGTATCCCGTTTAAATCGGAGACCCAAGGAAGCGGCATTTCGAATTTTTAAATTGCTATAAGCTCGGATATTCAATTGTCAGGTGATTTTTCGAATTACGGTCACGTGGAAACTCCACCTATCGATTCTGATAACGCTTTCGGTTTTTGGTTCCCTTCGAGTCACCAACCTGATCAGAGGCTACACTGTCGGGTTGATTCGTACAGTAAAGCCAAGGTTCTCGAAAGATCTTTTTATTTTTTAGTCTAGGCCGAGGCTAGTGCGTGGCCGAAGGTGTCGCAGGTCAGTTCTCGGATTTTCGTTATCGGCTTCGAATTATGAAAATACATTACTAGATATATATATATATATATATATATATATATATATATATCTGGCTTGCCAAACCTAAACTCTAGGTTATTAAAAATTCTGAAACTACCCCTTGGACTATATCTTTATTGCCACTTAACGCTACTCGAAAACTTTTCCTCTCTTTATGATCACCTGCAAGTGAGATGACGGAGAGCGAGATGAAAATGTCCTGAGAAAAGTGAAAACTCGGCGGAAAAGTCTTTGGCTTTTATTCGACATCTTTATCTCTACCCCGGAGAATAAAGTGAATAGCCCTAAGGGGTTTGGATTTCTATCGGAGGAACAAGTGGCCGTTGAGTATATCGGCGACCGCCGAAAGTAAAGAGACTGGCCAAGTCTTATTGACCTTCGAATTATTACTTCCGCTCGGTTACCTTTCTTCTTATAACTTTTTTTTTATTTTCTTTACGTCCCTCGTCCCTTCATTCAACGACGCCGCCCTACCCAACGTGCCAGGAATAAAAGGATAAAAACAATGGGGAGAGGCTGCCTTCTCCTCTTTAACGCGACACAATAATTCCGCGCGATGATCATCATTTATAACGGGTAAACATTTTATTTTTGGCAAAAACACGATTACGTAACACAGTTTGCATGGTAGGTTATGTACAACATAAAACAAAATTATTAAAAATCTACTTTACAATTTATACATGTTATCCGTAGTAAGATGCACTTTTATATGACGTCATGCATGCACTATGCATCCACTAAGGTTATCATGCATATATTATATGTACTCATATGCCAAGGACTGGGTGTACAGGTGGTTTGGCCCTGATGACGCCTTGGAGGACATAATAAGTAAGGCTGCCTGGAGCAGCGAGATAGACGTCATCGACGTCATCGTTGTCATCGTCATTAACCCTAAATCGGTTGGCGGAGTTCACGTTCCTCTTCCGACGCATTTTACACAGGTACTTTTAAAATAATATCGAAATCTAACGGGTAGAACAAAATAATGAAATTATCAAGGGCTCAATTCTCACTGATATAATATACGGACACAGAAAAACGTATGTAAACATTCTGACAGATTTTTACTTTTTTCATTCCCATTTTTAACTACGAAAGCAGTCTGTATGCTGATCGGCTATTCCTATCCTATTTATTCATTCAATATAAAGGGAGATCCTCGGGTCTCACCCAGGGATGCTGCTGCATCCTCTCCAGTGAACATCTCCGTGGAAATCTTGTCAGCAGTCTTCTTCTGGATCTGAGCCAGAGTTCCAGACAGTTCGAGGACTGAGATCCCGATGGAATACCACGAAGGTGTCTGAGGATGATTAGAATTAATTTTCATCTAGTCAGGCACTTCTGGACCAGACTCAAGGACACCCTAGACCCTACCGCCTTACACTCTTATTTTACGAGGGTGGCTTGTGGGGCTTGAAAGAATTTGAAAAACTTACCCCAAAGACGTTTACGGCATTTCGCCAGGTTTATGGATGGGAGGCCAAGTCTACTCTGATCTTATAATAGGGAGATCTAGGATATTAAAGATAAAATCATTTTGACGTGACGCTCGGGTCTTGCGAAGTAATTAATCATCCCAGAGTTTGTACTTTGCATTGTGTTTATATAGTACGACACTGGGTAGATAGATCCCTTGGATAGACCTGCTGAAAAAAATGCATTATTCCTGCTTTACACATTTGTCAATTATATAGACTTTTATATCGTGTATTTTGACATTGTACATGTACGTACGTGGATATGCATGCGGTCGTTATTTTCACCGGGCGATTTGTTCGATCGCGAAAAATGTAGTTTGGCGATAAAATCGCCAGGATATAAGAGGCTCGTTAATGGAGATTCGAAAATCAAAGCTGTAGGGATGGTATGAAAAATGTTAGTGTTTTTATGTATTAAAAAAAAAAGCGACTCACTCGACACTAAATAAATATCGCGGAAACTCCCTGCCATCCGGATCATCATCCCCTAGAATCAGCACGCAGCCATTAGTTGTATGGAACCGCTTCGTTGCGCTTTATTTACATTTCAAGCTACAGTGCAGGTATACCTGAATACGTACTTGTGCACCCGTTGCAGGATAGCAGTAATGGTAGGTAACATGATAGACAGTTAAGTATCTAGTTAGGGTGGTACGCATCGCGTATATCTGAAATCCTCATCGCCAAAGTGGTCCTACGTTAAACAGGTGGATTAAAAATTAACGAACCCTTAACTTAACGCATCCCTATCGAGTCGTTAAGTTGAGCCTGAAAATTTTCTAAAATTGACTATAAAAAATTATATCACCAGTGGTCATTAAAAGTCTCGACGAGGGGTCTGTTATACGGTGAAAATTGGTGGTAAGAAAGTAGTCCCGAAATGAGGCACGTGCATCGGGGACGATTGTCAAATGTATTTTGTTCGCTGCACTTCCGGCAACTGCAGTTTCGTTACAGGAGGTATATATATCGTTGAGCTCTGCCAAGGGTTGATCGAGAGTAGCGGAGGGTCGGTTGGCGGAGTTGTAGTTATTCTATTTTTATGAAGTGCGAATAACAGAAGGAAGAAAGTAAGGAGAAAGGAAAATAAGGAAAGTACTGTCTCGGCCTTGCGGGTATATAAAATTTTCAAAATGTATATTTCACGAGTGAAACGAACCGGATGGCATTCTTCTTTATTGCTCCGGCAGCAGGTTGCAAGCCGATAAGAATTTTTCTAAGGGTGAAAACTTCCCTCGTACTTACGTAGACGTAACCTGCCACCGACGTATCCATTTCCACTTCACCCTTGACACTATGGATATGCTACCCTTAAAGGTGGCGGTTTCCAGGTGGATAAAAATTCTTATCTCTAAAAAGAAAAATGGTTAGACACCATCCAGCATCCACCGTTTTACCAAAATAATGTGAGTGCTTCATGGAATAATGTCGATTAGGTGATTCCATAGGAAATCACCATTACGTAGGAATCCGGAAGAAAATAAAGGAGCCTCGTGATACTCGAGGGGTGTTAGCCACTCATTGAACCAACCCCCTATCTACCGGCAGTGTAAAACGAGCTACTGAAAATAAATTGGCTATTATCCTTTAGCCAAGACACGAACCCCGAACTAGCTGAGCTCAAAACCCACAGCCGCGCCTAGTGTCTTTTGTTTCCTTGGGTCTTGGATGATCCCGACATAAATCCATAAAAAATTCGCATATTTCTCACCTCGTGGGAAAAGGGGGTCGTGGGAGGCGGGGGATTCTGAGTTAAATTTCACAAGATATATAACAGCCAGTGGTCATGCTCGGTGTCCACTAACCCAGATAGAGTGACTCCCCGCGAACCACTGTATGGTATCTTTGGTAGGTTCTCGAGGGGGCTGGTCGGTGCGCGCGCGCGCGCGCGCACCATCACTTCCTACCCCCAATGAGGCGCCAAGGGGATGCGGTGGGTTAAGGGTAGCTCCAACTGGAATCGTGTGAGTTCTCGCGACCTGTCCTGGTATTGGTAAGTCCTGGCTCCAGTGTCCGCGCGTCTTCCGCCAAAGTCGGACCGCCGTGTCGCTCGGGAAATATTCGCGTGTCCTGCGTGTCCTGCGTCCTCTTACGGAGGACGCGTGTCACTTGATAATCGGCTTACAAGGGACGTCGCGACGTCCGGAGACAGTGGAGACGCCGATGTAGTTGATTGGTGTGTGTCGGGGGATTTTTTAATGATAAGAAACTAATTGCAAGTTAAAAGGCAATTTTCACGTGTCTTAAATATAAATTACGTAAACCTTGATTTAGGGGCATCTTTTTCACTCCATAAAACAAGAGTTCTACGATCACTTTGAAATACTTGAAAAATACCAAACCACGTGGTCAATTCGCCCTTTATTACGTTTTACCCTTGTTTTATGTCGGTTGCCCATTTTCGCGAATAGTCAGTCTTTAAATCTTTATCGCAGCGTCTGACTTCACGACCCACGTAATCTCTTACGGAATACGACCTGTTCTGGAAGCCCTATCATTAAATATCGATAATCGAACTGGCACACGACCCGCGCAACGATATAAGAGTAATCCACGAAATTCAATAAAGTGCGTGCAACGAGATGGCGAAAAATCGCAATCGTGCTAAATGCAAAGCCAAAGATTTGCGCTACTGAATTAAATGTACGTTGAGTAAACGGGCGGAATAAATAAGAAAAAAAAATAAATAAAAAAACATGAATAAATAGAACGTGCAAAGTTGCATAGTGACAGTTCCCGACGTATGATGATAGCGTGTTATTGATAGTGTATTTGATTCGGGGGAAAAAAAGTGTAAAGTTCCACTCTGTGTTTCAAGTGAAATCCGCAGTTCGTTTCATTCAGTGCGAAAATGCTGTCTAGGACATATAACCAAAGGTATTTGAACGAGCCAAGGAATGTTTATTAATTTTTCAAAAAAAGTGAGTGTCAATTGGATAATGATTTGATAAAAAAATTTTATTTAAAAAAAATCAAACCAATTCAATATACAAGTGTCTGCCAGTCAGGTCACGAAGTTGCTAGAAGTAAGGATTCCCAAGCTCCTGAACGAGTTAAGGGATGAACTTTCAGTTTCGCCACTCCCACCCCTTTTCGCAACTGCTCCTATGTACTGCACTGCGTTTTGGAAGAAAAAAAATAATAATAACAATTCGCATAATGATTATTCACCGCTCGTTTCGTCAAAACCAATCACGATGCTGGTCGCACGTAGAAAATCTTTTTTATTGTTATTTTTTAATTAAACAAATTTGATCTCCACGTTTTCAAAATATCCGTACAGGCTCCATCGAAATTCATTTCTGGATGGACAGCGTCGCGTTCGAATTGTACAAACCGCGTCGCGACGCGGCAACCCTCCGTGCAAATATTTTCACTGTAATACACAGCGGCGTTGAACGTTTCAGCGCGCGCTGGGAAGATGAAAGGGGTCGTGCAAATAAAGCAACGTAAATGTGGCAAAAACATTGGTACCGCGTTGAGAATATATTTCATTGTATAATAAAGTACGGCTGAGATTTCATGAACGTGCCGATCTAACGAGTTTGTCGAAATTTTGGCCACCTCTATAAAGTTGCGAAAATTCGCGAAATATCGAAAAGCCGCGCGTCCTACCGACAGAGATACGCGAATCCGGTAATTATTCGTGAGGGGTTGGTTAGATATCGGATATCAGTAGGCAAACCCTGTGGATCTATTGTTGTTATTGCAAATGGGAAATGCCAAAATTATTCGCACTGCTTCGTTACTTTATACTACAGGGGAGGTCAATTCAATTCAAGTCTTTAATTATAGACCGCTCGTTAATTAATAATCGTTTGGCTCCCGTAAACCGGGCGTTTTTATAAGGGGTGCCATTGTCGGGGGATGCCGCAAGGGACCGTTGAAACGGAAAGGGGTGAAAGGGAGAATTAAAAAAAAAGAAGGAAAGTAAGGGCTGCGAGAAACAACAAAAAGATTTTATTGCAGTCACGGAATAATATATAAACGAACTTGTATGCCTACGAATTAATGAGAACTTTATGAAAGATAATTAACAGTCTTTGATTATTTTTATTATTACCGACCTTCTTTTTTTATTCTATGCTTCAACTCTTATGTTTCACTTTGATTTTCGTACTTCGTCTACGTACGTTTTGTCTTTTACGAAATTGTGAAGTTCAGTGCGATGAAGATTCTTTTAATGCAATTTTTGGATACTGGAACGAGTGTCATTGCCAATTTGCAAATCGATTCCTCTACTTTATTATGTTCCATATACCGCAAGTGTTTGTAATTATGGTAATATATCAATATATTTCGATTGCTTTGTGAGGCAGTGTGTATCTGCTTTATTCGAATTATGTTTATTGTAGATCTAAATTAACCTGTGAAATTACCAAATTCCATAAATGATCGTATAATTTGTGGGAATTTATAATTATTGTAAATATTTAGCATTTATCATTTTGACGAAAACACGTGCGTGGATGCGTGTGTGATAAATCCAACGCACGCAGACTGAAGGACTGTTGGGTCAATTTTTTAAATTGGTAGCATGATGAAAAGGGATGATTGAGGTATTTATCGAAAATCCAGGGATTTGGCAAGTGGAAAAAAAAAATTGGCATAAATTCATCTTTCACCTGATAGACACATCTAGATAGAGATAAAGAGGAATAAAGGGCTTTACGTTAAATATAGAAATTCTGTCTTACCTAGTGATAGATAGGGGTTGCTGAAATCTTGAAGGATCTGAACCCCCTAACCATCTTGTGGATTTTATTGTCTGTATGAATTTTCGCCACGGAGGATCAGGAAAAGCTCGAGGAAATTTTCACTTACACGAAAGAAACCGTGAATTTCAATATTTTGAAAAGAAATGATTTTCGAGAAAACGGTTAAAAGTAAACAGATTGAAAAAAATTAATCGAAAAAAAAAGGTTAATGATTTACTTTTTTTTCCTTTGATAGGTATCCGAAGACTTTCAAAGGAATCCCAATGAAATGTAAAGAGTAATTGAGAAATTGAAAACAAAGATACCACCGGGTATTGCCGGTGTTCGATCTGCTGTTTTGCCAACCCTCCCAATTCCACTTGTTATTTCGTTAATTACCCAACTTGGGGTAACTGGAAACTTTTAAACGCGAATGTAATGCAAATTAACGAAAATTTTACAACACGAAAATTGTGCACGTGACTATTTAACGATTTAATTAAACGCACCACGTATCTGTGATTTCCCGTTCCACGAGCAGAATCGTGATATTGAATTATGCAATTAAAAACAAAAAGAAAAAGGAACTTCGTAAAGAGACTGAAAGATAATTATTTTCATAAAATTTTCAAGCAATTTCAAATTTGTGCCCAAGGCTCTCGCTTTTCGCCTCTTGTCAACCCTTCGTGATAACGAATGTCTAAGGGTCTTCCCATAAGACACCAAGGGTGGTAAGTTTAATTTAGAAAGATTCTCGAGAGACGTTAATGCGATTAGACTTCCAATTTGTCGAGGGGTGACAGGTCAGATCAATCCAAACAGCAGTTACTAAAATCTCAAGATAGACATAGAGACAGACAAGATCTCCTGATGAAGCATACGAGATCTTTTTTTTCCCCTAACCCATAGTAACACCCAGCAACCCTTGTTCTCGTTATTCAACCAAATGGACAAAAAACATACCCCAAGAGCATCATGGAAATTCCCTAGCGGACACTTCCGGTTCTCTGATAGTTTCCGTAAGAAATTCAAAAATCTCAATGACAGATCTCGCCAGTTCTTTTCTAGGTCGCGAAACAGCCCTTTCCCGAGGTCCCTCCTCGCTTACTCCTGCAACCCTTACGGGCACGAGCCACATGATTTATGCCGGGTTCTCAACCTGCGAGTCCCTTAACTTAAGAAATAGAGGACAGGGCGAAGCGAGAATTCACCACATGCTGCTCACGCTCGCGCTATTAGAGTTACCGTAAAGGGATTTGAACAAACCCAATTTAACAGAGGGTAACTCCGACATCCCTTATTTCCTTCTCGCCCACCCTTTCCCTACTTATTTGCCCTTTACTTCGCAGCCTCTTTTAAATGGCATGCTTCTTGATTATACCTACGTTACCTAACGGCCCTTAAGTTCCACTAGTGTTATTCCGTTTCGTTGCGTGTCTTATTAGTTGATTAAATTTTTCTACCTTGCTGTACTTAAACCTTGCTTCTCTCCATTTAAACTACATTTGGCCATTACCATACGGCGCATGGATCCATCCCTGAAACTGCCTAATCGGAAATTAATGGCTTCGTGTTTCATTTCAAAAATTCCAAATTTAGCAATACAATTTTTTATTAGCAAGCGACAAAAAATAGCGCCATAGGCCTGCACCTTAAAAAATCGATGTTCTCTGACAGCCCTTAAGAAATCTATGCTCTTCCAGCTTCGCAGCATCCCCTCTCGGACCTTTTCATCTCTGCCAGTTTTTATCTTCCTTTCTCCCCTCTTTCCCCTGCTCCTCCCATCTCTTCGTCATCTCGTGTTATTTCCTTCAAAGAAACAGGAAGATGCACGTTTCTCAGGTGAACTCATATAAGAATGGGAGTTTGTCGAGCCTAAGCGGATTCAAAGTTCAGAGGTCACGGGGTTGAAATTGAGATCCCCGAATGTCACAGGGGTCCGTGAGAGTTCTACATAAAATTGTTCGTCTTCGCGTAACTTCATTGGGGTGGCTCAGTTCCTTTGGGGCGATTGTCGCCATCGTCCTCGTAAATCAGACGGCGAGCGTCGCGACGCCTCCTCCCTCCTCTCCATCAAGCTCGTACTCACGTAATCGCCTTGTCCGAAGTCGTCATCGTCAAACTGCACGACGCTTCATGGATCGCGTGCGAACGTGACAGATCAAACGGATGAAAAATGGCGGGATTTCGAGTGGTCCGTTCTGGGTCGAATGGAATTCGCGAAATTGGAACGAAACCCGGAAAAACGAAACGATTTGGTGCTAGAGTCGAAACTACCCTGGTAAAAGTGGACTGTTTCATTCTGGTATCGTTACAGTCCTTTATGGGAGGAAGGTAGGTGGGCTTGAGAGAGGGAGATGGACGATCCTTGATAGTATTAGGCAAGTAATGAAAATTCGTTCGCGTTTCTTTTATTTTATTTTCGGGCATTGCTAGTCGTGACACGAAATAAAAATTACAAATTTTTTGTAAAAAATAAAAAACTTAAAAATTACAAAATCAATTTATATACGTAATAACAGTTTCCGACTGAACGGACTTAGGGCTGTTGAACCGAAGAAAATATATTGCATAAAAGTGCGATCGATCGAAAAAAAAAAAATAAATAAATTCACGATACTCCGTTAACTAAATTTTAGAAAATTCGAATCGCGATCGGATTTGCATGCGACGAAGTTTAAAAAAGTCCCACCGCCAATTGGGAAATGTCATCGTAAAATATTGACGAATGAAATTTTCATTTAAGCTTTCTCTACGTCTTTGCATTTAATTCGAGCATCGTTACCGAACCATAGAAATTAAGTAATACTATTTTATTATTTTATATCTTACTTCTCCTAGGTATATTAAAATAAAAAATTTTCCAGACTACCAGAATATTTTTGGTGCGTTTCAACCACCTGCTCGAATTGCACAGCAATCCCCAAGATCCTTCTGTGTCTCGTGGAAGCAAAGCAGTTGGCATCCATTAGTCCAAAGTACCATTAGAGTCCAAGGGCGTCCGTGGCGACGACCTCAAGAAAAAGAGATAAAGATTTAGATAGTTGATACGCCATCTATGGACCACGAATGCAAGCTTATTAATTCGGATCATTAAGCCCCGTACTCTTGATTGTTTCAGCTCGAAGAGAAGCCAGTAATGGATGAGATGGTTCCAGGGAAGGATTGGCGAACGCCTAGAAAAAACCGGAAGTGTCTGTGAATCAGTGAACCCTGTGCAGAGTATCGCGATAAATCCCACGGAATCCGTCGTAAGGCGAATAGTCATGTCTTGGTGTTAGAAATTGGAAAATATTGGAAGGAAAAGTTTTTTTAAAAACAAAAATAAACAATAGAAAGGGGAAGGTGCGCGGCAGTGCTTGTTGCTCGTATTTCTCCACAAAATGGCACTGCTCTTCGCCATCGTCCTCATTCTGGTCGCCACTGCCATGTCGCTGCCAGCTGTTATCAGAATCGGTGAGTCCCGCCTTATCTCTCTTCTTCTACGAGCGTATACACTATTTTTTTCACGTGAAATTCACGGCACTCTTGGGAGTAACTTTTCATTTTTTTTTTTCCGTCTCTTCCCGACCACCCGTTAGAAACGGATCTAAGATCGATATCGCGAACCGAATTGTCACGTACATAAGGGTACCATCTGTTACTCAAGGACGCGATCGCCGCATGGAAAATCCGGCCATAAAGATAGGAGCGCAATCTCGCTGTAAAAGTTTACGGCAGAAATTGTTCCTCGAATTTGAATCGCTTTACGCCGAATAGGAGCTCGTAATTCCGCGGGCTGCGCTTTCGCACTTTACTAGCTTCCCCATGCACGACTGTCTGGTAAACCGATTTAAAGCTGGTCTCATGGAGAAAAAGGGAACTCGAAACGGATGGTACGAGACTTTTGAAAACATCCTGAAATTATGGCTAGTCTACTTCCGGTTTCTGGGCTAGCAAGTATATCGAGCTATCGCGAAGAAAAGTTGAGCAAGTCCAAGAAGAAGCATATAGAGATACTTATTAGAAATAAGTGTCCTAATACTTATTTGCGTCTTTACCGTAGGATCATTTTTAATCTCTTGCCGGAAATCATCCTAACGGCGAACTTCCCTTCGGACAACGTGCGGAGTGTCTGGTTCCAATCAGAAGACGCTGCTGCTGCCCTCTATCTCGAATCGGGGTTAGCAAGCAGTTCGGACTTTGCGAACCCATTAGGGAATTACGAGAAGGCCAAACAAACGGAACGAAGACTAACAGACGGTCGAGTTTACCTGATTTCAATAGGGAAACTAGAAATTTAGTAAATTAAGTTCCCACCAATTTCCGCGAGGGCGCAGCAGCTACGCTTCTTCACCCAAGGATATATCCTCGTGAGAATTCGAAGGTTGTCGCGTCTCGAAATAATTCGGAAAGCGAAAATTATACGAAGCTTTGAGGTAATAGGATGCATCCGAGGCTCCTCGAAGGAGGGTTGGTACAGGGGGCGTCCACCTACCCCTAGAGGTACGTTTTACTGACAAGAGTTGGTTATCACCCTGTGGAACGGGATAGTCTGGGTTTGTATGCAGCGCACCTGCAACGTCCCACAAATGCAGCCTCACTGATTGGAAGAATTACGTCGCATCCGGGTGCACCGAGCTGGGAAGGAAAAAGCAGATCTTGGACAAAATTGTCAGAGCCACGTTAAGGGTTGCGCCTTTGAGATTCGGTACTGCCATTTATAATAATTAGCGGAAAATACCAAAACCCAAAAAAAAAATATAAAGCAAGTTAACAAAAAAATTTACATATTCAAGACTAACCAATCATCGAACCTATGATGCACGAGAGCAACCAAGCTACCAACCCCCTAATAATACAGTGTAAGGAAAAATAATAAAATAAACACGTCCGCACATTTTCTTGAATTCCACCCTCAGTTTCGAGCCTTAACTTCGCAAGACCGAAAAATAAAAGTCTAACTAACCATAGGAAGGCCATGCGGTTTCCGTCATCCCTCATCGACATTCCGCAAACGTATCGCGAGAGATCCCGCCTGATTTTTCTACCCCTTCGAAATATAAGGAAGCTGCAAAGAATACCTGATACAGCTCGTGTATTTATGCAATTCTTCAGAATCACAATGCAAAGATGGTTCTTAAATTTTTCTTTTCTAAAAAACCCGTCATTTCCACACGTCGGTCCTCATTTCCGGTTTTATCAACTCTACCCTCACCTATGACCCCAGATTTGAGGATTCGCCAATAGTAATTTTAATATACCCAGAAGCTCCAGAAAGGCCTGACTACCCCCTGTTGGTTCAGCGACAAGAGTTCAATACGCGAGACGAGCCATCGATTGTTATCGAGGGTTCTTTCGATCGTCATAGGTCGTAATTTCGTATGTTCGAAAGCCGTCATTTACGACGCTAAGCACCCTCTACCGTATTCCGTGGCAACTATCGGTCGAACGATGGACCCCGAGAGCCCTTTTACGATTTGGGCAATCTGGTAATCTAACCTAACCTAACTTACATTATCGCAAGTATCAGAGGACAGTCATCAATACTAACGAGAATGTCCATTCGAAAAAGGAATAGATATTTACAGCAGATACCCTCTGTCTACCGTCCGCAATCGGGCTACTAGTGCTGCCCTAAGCATGCGGCGGCGGCTTTCGAAATTCAGATTGGTCCGGCCGATAAGTTATCATGGCGGTCGGGTTATGTGCCGCTTCTCCGACTCGTGATTTGACTCGCCGTTTTCTCGCAGCCGAGTCGCTCGGGACGAGATCACGATATAGAAATGCATCGCTCGTATTTGAAGCACGAACTTAAGACGCTTGTGGAATTTATACGGCAACGTTATATCCCACTTATGTAGCTTTTATGTTCCTTTACCTTCGACGGTGCTCGCGGCCATTTTATCCTCGTATTTATAAGCCCGGGGAATACCCGATAGGGATGAAGATATTTCCGTAGGATGAATGAGACCATCGTATATTAAGTATTGCCGAGTTACTTTATGCTCAGCGAGCTTCAGGCCATTGAAGCTGCTTACCGACAGAGTGAGAATTTCGATAGATCCAATATACTCAACAGACAAAGAACATTCCGAGATTCTATGATGTTCTCAGTCTCAGTAAAATTCACTACGGACTGTTACTTTTTCTATGAGAAACACATTGGGAGGTCTAAGGGGATTGTAATATCCCTGCTGTCTTACTCAAAAAGATTTTTGGACTGATTAATTTTTATTTTAAATGTATTCCCAATGGAGACTGTAGGTCAAAAGCTCTCAAGCAGGCTTAGCAGTGGGGTATTTGAGGTTAGATACGTCGAGCGAGTGACTATAAGAAATGAATGAGGAATGAAGAAGAACGGGATAGAGTGAAGGAGGACAGGATAGAGTCTAAATTACAGAGAGGCAAATGTATAAAAAATAATATCCTCTTGGAAAAATTGTCTTTTTCTTTCGCGCTACCTCAAGAATGGTTAAAAATTCGACATTGTCAATTTTCATTTAATCCACCCGCGTAGATGTAGTCAAATTAGGGGGAAGGGGAATAAAGAGAAAAAACAGGGAATGATGGTTCGGCTCATTTTCTTTACGTCCATACTTTCGTTCTGGTTAGTTTACATCATCCCCCGTGCCACCACCCCCTTCGCACACTCCTACCACTATACGTATAGGTATACTTTCTGATTCTGCCGAAGCGAGCTCCAGAGGCCGCTCTGTCCCCATTCGCCGACAGTAAAATCATATTACCCTCAGTGAGAAGGGATGACAATATTCCACCCTCCCAGGAGGCCGAAAACCAGTCACAGCTACGTGCTCACAATTACGTGCAATTTTCTAGCAGCTTTTCCTGTCTAATCGAAATTAATCTTGAACGAGCACGTGGCATTTGGATGTCTGCATGAAAAAGGCAAATGGCGGATCCAATTCTATACTCCGATCGGGTGCCAGCAGCAACCCTCTTACAAATACTTTGTGCCGTATTAATTCTCCAATTAGTCAAGGCTCCGTGACTTTTTGGTTATTTTACCGTGTTCATCGAGAACGATGAGATCAGGTGGGGGTGACGAAGAGTAGAGGTCTGGTTGTAGGGAAGAAAAATAATGGTATAAGAAAAGAAAAAGGGAAAAATAGGAGTGAAGGTAAAATTGCGAAAAGTAAAGCTGACAAGTCTTTTATCGTGGAGGAAGGCTCATGGGTAATTTAATGACGTGGCCCAAGGAAAATTATCAGAAAATTATCGGAAAATTAAAATCTCCAATAAGTATATCGTAGTACACAAGTGGCAGTAAATTAGAGCTTTCGGGTTGCGAAATTCCAAAATATAATAAACAGTGGACGTAAAACATTTTTATGGCCCGTCTTAATTGATATCGCTGCGCCTTTTGGGTTTGGGGTCGACGTGTGTTTAGGAAGGGGCAGCCACTCAGTTTTACGTAAGAGTTAAGAAGACAGTAGCTACATTAAAATGGATGCTAAACAGATACAAGCCCACGGACCCAAAAAAAAGGACGAGGTAAGGACCTTGTCCCGGGACGAAGTTTATCTTCTACCTTTTATCTGGTTAGCGGTTAATTACTATGATTATGAAGCAAGATCCTCGATCTTGGATGTGGCTTAGTCTACCTTAGTCTACCGATGGCGTTTCTCTCCCTTGGTCCCTTAACACGGCCGGGCACCTTTTCTCTAATTTACTGGATGCCCTTTGGGCCTGAATCGTTCTCCATGCATAATTTAACCCTCTGTTGTCTTTTGCCTCGACTTCAGCCGTAGCCCCTAAAGTCACAGGAACTTTACTCCCCCCGCAAGAAACTCTTGAACCTTTTGTTATCAACATTGCTTGAGTACACCTGACGCTGCATCCTTCTTCAGGGTTTCTCATTCGCTCTGTAATAATGTGAATAGGGGTGAATAATTGTCTGATGAATATTTCGATAATGTCGTTCACACCTTATACGTAGTATATATATGTATATTCGTATACACCGGTCTATGCACAGGTACGTATCGTACGTTATGTCCGTGCATATGTATATAATGTATATATAACCACGTGGTGGGTTTCCATGTAAAGGGAACAAGGCGCAAAGCGCTGAGTTGCAATATCGGAATTCCTAGTAGGTAAGTATCGGCTTCGAGCCTTGATCCACATCGCAGACATGAACATTCGCCTTGTGCATTTGTGCGATGCATCGCAGCAGCGCAGTCTGCAATTGTCACGTGGACTTTATTCGAAAAAGAGCTTTAAGAAGTATATATATATATATATATATAGTTGGACGGGTGGGCGGGTGGAGAAATACGTGGGGAATAAAAATGTGAACGAGGAGAAGACAGCAGGATAAGGGAAGATCGAAGGAAGTAGAAGAAGCGGTAGGAGACTCCCTTTAATGGCATCCTCCCCCTAGGCCGTCGTGGGAAAATCGTAAGCAAATTAGAATGGAGAAAGACAAGGGGGAAAAGGCCCATCGGGACTAA